GATCTTATGATGAAAGGGAGGTCTTCGATGAAGCATCTGAAAAGTGTTTGGCCTAGGACAGGAGCCACAGTTATTTCTGCAGAAATGTTGTGGAGATGAGACGATTGACTCCCAACATTCACAATATCTTTCTTTATGCCAAGTGTGACCTCAACCAGTTTTCCCCCAATTCTCACTTTCTCCAGTTCTGATAGGGCTCCTTGATCCCATACTCTGTCAAATGCTGCCTTAATTCTCCCTTTACCCGTGGAGTTCAGTACTTAAGTTCATGTTCGGACCAAGCTTGTAATGAAGTCATGAGCTGAGTGACCCTGCCTGAATCCAAATCCAGCAATAGCGATCAGGTTATTACATTGCAACTGCAACTTGATAGTTCTATCAATCATCCTCTGTATTGCTTTGCTGATGATCAAGAGTAGACTGATAGGGTGGTAATTGGTTTGGTTGGATTTGTCCTGCTAATTGTAGGCGGGCTATATCCAGACACCTGTCCACCTTGTTGGATAGATGCATTGCATTGGAGGCAGTTCAGCGAAGCTTCGTTAGGTGACTTTCTTGAATGATGAGGCTGCCTTATGATGAAAGGTTCATTTTGTGTTGTGGCTACACTCACAGGAATCCATGAATGTAAGAGGTGATCTTCTTGAAACCTACGATTCTAAGGGGGCTTGCCAGGGTCAATGTCAACAGGATGTTTTCCCTTGTCAGGAAATAAAACCCACCATGGTAAATGGTAATATTTGATTTCAACAAAAATCTGGAATAAGGAGAGCCTAACAGTGATCATGTAGTTATTGCTGATTTTTGTAAGAACTCATCTTGTTCATTAACATCCTTTAGGGAAGGAGATCTGCAATCCTGACTCAGTAGTTGACACTTAACTGCAATAAATGCTGTCTTAGCCTGCAATGCTCACATTCTATGAATGAATAAAAGAATGTGATCTCCCATTTATTGAGGAGGAATTTCTTATCTTATATTTTTAATCTCTATAATTCTCGTCCACAGAGAGATGTCATTGAATATATTCCAGGGTGACTTAGAAAGGTTTTTGACCTGCAGGGAAGTCAAGGGATGTGGCCGCAAGTGGGAGATTGAAACTGAGGCCACAATCTGATCAGCCATTATCTCATTGAATGGGGCCATATTTCAGATGTGTGGTCCTATTTCTTGTGTTCTGATTTCAAGCAGCTTACCAGTGTCTTCCAAAGGGTATGAGAGGTGGCAACATATGCTAGTCTGGTTATTGGCATCCACATTCCTTGGAAGAATCTTTACAAAAGCAGTAAATACTGGTTTGCTTAAAAAATTACTTTTAAACCAATATGTTTTGGCTGGATGAGAGTAGGAGAGGATATGTAACAAAGGTGGATAAGGTGTAAGATATTCATCAGCTATGGTCATTCAATGGTGGAAAAATAAAAGGCGTGAATGACCTCCTTCTGGTTTTGTGTTCCTACCTGCAGCTACATTCTTGCTGTTGAGCCTGCATTCACTCCATGATCTAAAAATGCAATGAGGGAAACAATGTTTGGCTTCACATATTGAAGATAGGACTGTAACACATCCCTACAGATTCACTGACACCCAGATACATGAAATGAGCATGTGTTTTTGAAAGAAGAGCTCTTCATTTTAAATGCATGAGAACATAGGGCCTTTGTTCCATTTTCACAGCTTTTCTAAATGTTTCTCTTACAAACACCTGCCTGTGGTTTACATTTCAAAATGAGGACATTGTACCATTCAGAGTTTGCTGTCTGACTAAGGGCACAGTGTGCAACATGGCAATTTTGTCATTGGAATACCAAGGCTTAAACTATACTCCATCAAGGCTCTTGGTGCAGTGGTACTGTCCCAACATCCAATCTAGAAGGCCTGGGTTCAAGTCTCACCTGTCCAGTGATGTGTCAAAACCCATCTGAACAGGTCAATTAAAAATGTCTATAATAGGTTCATAAATATATTATTCACAAGTAGAGATGAACTAAGCATCAAAGTACTTCAACTACATTTCTATTCCCAGTTAATGTGGTACATTGATGAAACTGGATGCCATGATTCACAGTATATTGAATTTCTAATCTTACTCCATTGTCAGTCTGAAGGTTTTGATCAGAGGCAGGGCACATGCCCACAATACAAGTAGGAAGGTTTGGATAGAGTTTTTTAGTGTAATGCCTGGTTGCTTTTTTTAAAGTAGCCTCAGTGGTGACCTGGAAACTGTGTTGCCTTACAATCATGACGAGGTGTTGCAATTGGAGACCAGAGGTACCCGAAAGGAAAGACAGCAGATTGTCATTGACCAGGCAGCATTTAGTCTTGTGAACAGACCAATGAGGTAACTTTTATGAAGCTCAGAACAAAAAAAAAATGGCTATGATACTTGATACATGATACAGCACAAATTTCCATAAACCCTCAATCTGATATGTTTTACTGAGGATTCTACCTCTCAGCAATGCATCTTCGCTGAAAGCTATGATTCTATTTAAAATGATAATGTCTCATGAAACAGTAATGTTTTGAATTTTTTTCCTTTATCCATTCATGGAATGAGGGCATTGCCAGATAGGCCGACATTTATTGCCCATCCCGGCAGTTATGAGTCAACCACATTGGTGTGGATCTGGAGTCACATGTAGGCCAGACC